GGGCGCTTCGCCTCCGCCGCAGCCGCACCGCCACCCGCGTCGCCACCCGCGCCGTCGCCTCGACGCGCCCGTTTGCTAGTCGTCTTTTTGCCTCCGCCGCCTCCGCCTCCGCCGCCGCCTCCGCTGCCGCCGCCGCCGCCGCCGCCGCCGCCTCCGCCGCCGCCTCCGCCGCCGCTGCCGCCGCCGCCGCTGCCGCCGCCGCTGCCGCCGGCCGCCGCCGCCGCCGCCGTCTCTTCGGCGTGCTGCCTCGCCCGCCAAGCGGCGAGGACGTCGGGACAGCCCTCGAGCGCGTCCTCCGCCTCCCACGTGTTGTCCTCGTCCGGCCAGCCGCGCCACTTGACCAGGTACCTGCGGCGGCGCACGCGGGATGTCAGCGCCCTGGTACGTGTCGCTTCGGATGCCGGCGGTTCTCGCGGCGCGCTGCCGCAGCCCAGGCTCGCCGATCGGAAGGAGCTCTCGGACGCGCGGTGTGGAATGGTGGCAAGGCCGGCCGGCGGCGGGCGCGGGCGGAGGGCCAGCCACGAACGTCAGCTTGCCACGGCGCCGCTTCTGCTCGCGGATGCACTCAACCTCGTAGTCGACCTCGGCCACCTCGCGCAGGTCGCAGGCGCCTCTGTGGCCGGCTGGGAGGCAGCAGCCTTCCGTCCGGCGGCAGAGGCCGACGAATACCCGCTCGAGTGCGCCGCGGCCTGCCATTGCTGAAGAAGAAGAATTTCACTGCGATGGCTGCCTAATGGGATGGAAAGGAAGGCTCGGCGAGCGTATAGAAGCGTGCTCGACCTCGTCGTGGCAACCTGCACGGCAGCGCTGGCGGGCGCGATGAGCGTCGTGCCACCTGACCAGAGACGGGTCGCAGGCGTCGGAGGCCGAGCGCGTGGAGACCGTGTCCTGATGTGATCTGCACGGGTGAGTCACGTAGGCGTCAAAGGAGCGACGACACGTGCGACCTGTCAGAGCTTGCTCTCCGATCTCAGCGGCGTCGAGGTCGTCTCCGTCGGCCCGACAATTTTGTCCCTCCCCAGGACGCAACCTGGTTTGTGGAGCTCCCGCACCTGTTCTGACAGAGACCTGGCCGTTCTGACAGCGTTCTGACAGCGTTCTGACAGCGTTCTGACAGCGTTCTGACAGCGCAAAATCCTCCCCTCTCTTCACAGCTCAGGGGTTCTGACGTTCCCAGTTGCCCCGCTCCTTCCCTCTTCCTGTCTTGAAGTCTCCCTCCGAGCCACGGACGGACTCAACACACAGCACGTCCTCCCAAGCGCCAAGGCGACACTCTCACGTTGAGGCGTACGTAGGCCCTGTTCTGACACAAACTTGGTCCCCGTTCTGACACAAACTTCAACTTTCAACTTCGAGTCCAAGTTCGCCTGTTCTGACAATCTGTAGGTAGGTAGGTAGGAAGGTGAAGAACAGCCAGGCTCGGACTGGACACCAACGCGGTATGGGTGGACGCAAGACAGATGATGACGACACGCACGAGCGACACACAGACACAAACAAGCTCACAAGACACACAGCCAGCTGGCTGCCACACACCCAATCTGTTCTGACAATTTAAAAAGAAATGCGCATCCCACCAAGCGGGAGCGCAAACAGCTGTAACCGTCGACAGGAGCACGCCAAGGCCGCCATCATGCCGGGGCCTCGAGGCAGCAAACGCGCTCTTGCGATGGTCTGCGGCGCAGGCTGGAGCCCCGCGACAGAGCCGAAGAAGCTGCGGCCCGGCAGCAGCCACGCCGAAGCGCCGCAGCACAATGTGCGATGTGCGGGCCCGGCAGTCCAGTTAGACGCGAAGGCTGCTTCCAAGACGGCAGCCTCGGGTCACGAGGGACCGAACGTGCCGCTTGCGACGCCGCCGCGCCGTCCTTTGGCACCACCGCCAAACGGCCCTTGCTCCTCCGAGACACGCGCCGCAGAGACGCGCTTGTCGCCGCCAAAGCAACAGCAGCAGCAGTGGCAGCGAGACTTAACGTCGGCAGTGCGGCCTCGCCGCAGCCCAGCCGCCGCTCGCCTTGCCCTGGCCAGGCGGCCGAGCAGGCGGTGCCCGCAGCCGAGGCAGATCAGCGGGATGGGCTCGAGCGGGCGCCGCCGCCGCCTGGCGCCGCGCCCGCGAAGGAGCCTGCAAAGGCGGGGGCGATCGGCGAGGCGGCGGCGCTCGCGTCTTGCAGATGTTCACACTTGGCCCGCTCTCGCGTGCTGGCAACGTTCTGACAGTACCCTACCCACAAAAGTGTTCTGACAGCGTTCTGACAGCGTTCTGACAGCGTTCTGACAACGTTCTGACAGTGTTCTGACAGCCGTTCTGACAGCTTTTTGACGGTAATTTACAGTTAAGACTCACCATCTGGTCTGAATAGAGGAGAGCGATGTCAGTGTTGGTTACAGCAGAAAGGTTCCTTAATTCGCTCCACTACAAAAAAAGTCCGGTGGGGAACCGACATCATGGCCCCGAATGCCGTGCTCTCTAGGAAAGGTGCGGGAGCTCCACAAACCAGGTTACGCGCAGAGGCAGGCGGGGTGGACGGTTGCACACCGGTCACCGCGCCACACCTGCTGTGTGCAACCTTCTCCTCGGCGGGGGCAGCTTCCTCTGGAAGGCACCGAGAGGGACAAAATGGCACAAAGACCAAAATCAAGGTTTTCAGACGCGCGAGCTGTGCCACAGTGAAATGGAACTAGCCTGTGCTGCTACTCTCTGGGACTGCCGTGCTCGCGCGCGGTGGTGCTGGTCCTGGTGCCGGTGCTGGTGCTGGTGCTGGTCCCGCAGGGCGCCGCGCCTTTTCTTTTGCCCGCCACCCGGCCAGCTGGGGCTGGAGAGGCTCAGCTGAGCTCGATGCCGCGCTCCTTGCACACGGCCACCAGCTCAGGCTGCTTCTCGTTGTCCACCATGAGCAACTGCACGCGAGGGAAGGTGCGATGAGCATTGGGCGGGGGAGGGGCGTGTGGCGAGGGTGGCATCTCACGCCTTCAAGCTCGGTGCGGCCCCCTCCTTGAGGGCGGCGGCCAGCGCCGTCCAGCCCTCGTCGCCAATCTCGTTGTAGTCGCGAGATATAGCTCCTCGAGCCGCAGCGCTGCCCACTCCTTGCCGAGGGCGGCAGCCAGCGCCTTGCAGCCCTCGCTGCCAATCTCGTTGCGGTTGAGATAGAGCTCCTCGAGCCGCGGCGCTGCCCCGCTCGCGAGCACCTCCGCCAGCTGCGCCGCCTCCGCGTCGCCCCAGCCGAGGCCGCGGTAGTTCAGACGAGTCGCCTTGCCAAACTGCTCCTTGAAGGCGGCCTCGTACAGCCGCTTCACCAGCGGCTTGTCGTCCTTGCCGTTGGTGAAGCTCTTCGACTCCAGCTCCGCCGCGAACGCAGACGGCAGCAGCGGAGGGCGCCGGCCGCCCTCCTGGGTGCAGTCGCCAATGAGGCTGCAGTAGACGTACTCCTCGCCGTCGCGCATCTTGCCGAGGTCGAGCGAGAGGGCGCTGGCCTTGGTCAGGCTCGACCAGGCGTTCTCGGTGGCGCACCAGCCGCGGTCAAAGTACTTGGCCACGTTGGTGCCCTCGGCCTGGTCCTCCGCCTCGTAGCCGTCGGGGAAGGAGGTCAGCCGCAGCACGTATGTGTGCGGGTGTGAGTAGAGCGTGCCGAGGCAGCCCAGCCCCTGCTTGAAGAGCGCGTTCTGCTCCTCGGTGCGCATGACGCTGTTGGCGGGGTCGGGGTGCTGGTGCAGCGAGCCGAAGTCCCAAAAGACGCCGAGACGCGTGATGTCGGGATGGCTGAGCAGGGCCTTAAGCGCCCTTGCAACGCGGGAGAGGTTGGCTCCGATCGGGTCCGGGTGGTCCTTAGTCAGCCACGGATAGGAGAGCGCTCCGACGGGAAGCCAGCCGTCATGCTCGGTCGCCTCGACGAGGTCGGCGAGGGAGAGGAAGGCCTCTTTGGGCAGCGCCTGGCGGTGGGTGAGGACGCCGCCCGCCTCGGCGTGGCTGATGATCCACTGCGCGTCGAGGAGGGCGACGGCGCCGCTCGCGAGGACCGGCTCCAGGTCGCCGCCGCCGTGCTTGCGCCACAGCCTCAGCTTGTACTTCTCCACGCCGAGATCGGTGGCCGATGGGAGGACCTTGCTCGTGCCGCAGCCCATTGAGGAGCAACGCCGTTCGTGCGCCCGCCCACCCCCGCCACAGGCAAGCTCATTCACAACCTGCTCTGCGATTGCCGTGTGAAGAACGACTGAGATGCGCTGCTTCTGCAGCCCCAGCCAGCTCTTGGTGGTCCAAATCACCTCATCGAGGTACTGGGCCCGCGTCAGCTTGTTCTGTAGCACGTCCGCCGCCTTCCGGAGGATCTCACGGACCCCCTTTCCGAACCCGCCGAACGATTCGAACAGCAGCAGCTGCACTTCGACGCCCTTGTCTTCCCTGGCGTAGCGATAGTCCCCGCCGTAGGACGGTATGCGGCGGTCGCCGCCCACCACCCTGCCCCCCCTGGTATGCCAGCGCCCAGTCCCTTGCCCTCTCTCGCCCTTGCTCTTCCTCTCCCCCTCCATGCCGCCCCCCCCGTACCCCTCCCCCTCCATGCCTCCCCCCCGGTACCCCTCCCCCTCCCCCCCCCCCCCTCCTCTCCCCCCCCCTCTCCCTGCCCCCCTGCCACCTCCCTCTCCCTCCTCGCAGTAGGGCCCATGCCCCATGACCATGTTCCGGTAGAATGATTCAGTGTTGCCGAAAGCGACAAAAGCGCCCTTCCGACCGTGCTCCCCGCTGCTGCTGAGGGAACAGACGACCTTGACGTCTCCGCAATAGTGCGTGCCGTCCTTGCCAATGTTGTCCGCGTCCACGTCGGGTTGTTTGTTGTAACTCTGACCGAGGTGGGCTTTCGGCTCCATTCGCACAGCGGTGCCCCACGCGGCGCGTAGGGCGGCGAGGATGCAAAAAGAAGAAAACCAGCGCGCGCTTCCCGCGGGAGTTTCTTTCGCGATGTCCTCCCCGCCGCGCCGCCGCTCGCGCCGCCTCGGGTAGTCCTCCCGATGGGGGGCTAGCACTAGCCGTCTTCCACATGGTCCCTCGGGTCCCTGATGCTGCTCCTAATCTCTTCGTCGTACATCCTCCTGCTGATCTCCGCAACGTCCTGCTCCCTCCCTCGTCTCGCCCTGCGTGACTCTCTGCTCTTGAGAAAATAACAATTTTCGGAGCGGAAAGGACACACATAATTGGAAGGACGTCTCGACCTCGTGCCCCTCCCTTGCCGCAACTGAGCTAAGCGAGCACGCCACACCTCAATCAATTGGGATTGCTGCACTTGGATGTTAGATCTTGGAGCACTTGGAGTGCAGTTGGCAGCCTCACATCCAGGAGCACTTGGAGGCCGTGGCACTTTTTTCTTGCACGGCGATCGCATTGCTCCTTTACCCGCGTCTCACCGAACAGACCTTTGTGTGCTCCTCTGCAGAAAACAGGCGCACACACGCCACCGCGCTCACGCGCACTCAACAGCCCCATCAGCTCGGACTCGCACAAACATCGCTAACGTGCCGTCAGCACCCACTGCGCCACGTCGGCGTCGCTCGCCCCGCGCCTCTGCAACTCCCTGCCACGCCGTAATGCTCTCCCAATCAGCATCGTGTAACCAGCATCGTTTCCAACAGGACTCGCATGCTCAAGCCTACCATCGAGCGCTCAAGCTCGGCCGCATCGGTGCCGTCTCTACTCCGGCCACGCCTCGAGCGCTCAAGCTCGGTCGCATCGGTGTCGTCGTCGCGCCGTTCGTGCTCACATGGCCCGGCCCGTCTGATCTCTGTCGTCGCCCTTCTGATCTCTGTCGTCGCCCTTCTGATCTCTGTTGTCGCCAACGCGGTGTTTGGCTGGGTGGTTCTCACGCTCGTCGCCGTCGAGCCGCCTCCGACACCGCCGCCATCGCCTCCGCCGCTAGCCCCGCTGAATACAACGATGACACCTGCGGCAGCGATCCTTGAAAGGGGCGGAGGAATCGGATTCGATCAGTGCAGTGCCGGGTCCTACAGCTGGCCGGGGATCCCGATCGGCCTGCCGGGCGGGAATTATCTCGAGATGTGCGTGCCAACCAAGTGCAGCTTCTCGACGACCGACAAGCTCCTCCGCTTTGCAGCTGGCGACCTGTGGAATAACCAGGCGCGCAGCACTATTCTCGGCACCTCATGCAGGAACCCTGCTCCCGGCGAGGCCGGCAACGCCACGAAACGGGCCTATTTGATTGTCCGGAATCCCTACGAGCGGCTGCTCTCCGCTTTCCTGGGCCAGGTGGCGGCTCCGTCATCAGGTGGCTCGCACCGCGACCAAGACGCTCGGGCGCACCTCCACCTGCCTTTCGGCCCGAATGGGAGTAGCCATGCGAGGTACGGGGCGTTTCAGCCGACTCCGGAGAGTTTCGCCGATTTTGTACTTCAGCTCACGGCCAAGCCGCCGGGTCTAGGCGGTAAGCTCCACGGCGGCGGCCAGCTCCAGGGTTTTGCAAGTGATCATCTGGAGCCGATCACTTCCTCGCCGCGCCACTGCCTGCGTCCTGAGTACCGGTGGGGCCGGCCATGGCAGGACTACTACACCGTGCTCAAGTTGGAGCAGCAGACAGATTGGTATGCGGATTGGGTCAGGGACAACCGGCTCGCGCGCTGGACCCAAAGCCGCAGGTGGCCTGGAGGGTGCTTCTGGCGGGCTCCCAATAAGTCGTGCGCGGAGACACTGTCTGTTCGCAGCGTCACGGTCAACGCCTCAGCAAGTTTACCAAAGCGCCGTTGCCAGGCGGCCAGCGGGCACAACACCGGCACCTGCCTGACGCTCCGCAAGTTTTACACAGACGCGCTCGCGGCACTTGTCACCGCCTACGCCGCGGAGGATTTGAAGGCCTTCAGCTACCCTGCGTGGCTTCCCAGCTGGGGCCCTGCCCCGGAGGCGGGACCTCCAGTGTCGGAGCGGGGCACCTACGGACAGACACGCGCGGCCTCTTGGTCTTGCTCGTGCCGAGGGTCGAAATATTCATAGACGCGTTCATCTCGAGCAAATAGAATACAAAAACTAACACCTTCCTTTTTTTGTATTTTTCCACCGAGCAATCACCGCCAAGAACATCATGGTTCATGCGCGCCGTTCTCCTCTCTACCCTGTTCGCCTCAGTGGCAGCTTTTGCGTCGGACCCCCTCCCCTTCTCGGAACCGTCTCGGAACCGTCTCGGAACCGTCTCGGAACCTTCGTAGGCGCGTCGCTCGCGTCGGACCCGCTGGCGGAGGCGCTGCTGGCGGGAGGCGTGGGCAGGGCGACGCTCGAGACGTGGCTCAAGGCGAACGGGTAGATGGCTAGGGAGAGTTGAGAGACCAGCCTGGCCAGCGAGTGGGCACCCGGCGGTGTGGCATGGTGTTGGGCGAGAGGGGTGGGCCATAGAAAGAAAGAAAGAGAACAAAGCCGAAATGTCAGGAGACGGAACACGGAGGAGCTGTATAGGTCACTAGAGACCCACACCATCGCTACATCACCACAGCCACCAAGTAAGTTGGTTGGATACAAGTCGATGACAATGTGCGCGGCAGGACCAAACCAAACATGAGACGGTTACACAAGGACGGTCAGGCTACGGTCAGGATGTAAGGTTTGAGTTCACACTCTCCAACACGAAATTTCGTTTCCGACTCGCGGGCAACAACCGTCTCGAGGACCGGAGAAGTCAAGTCACCGCGCGCGGCGGCAGAAACTCACGCGACAGTGATTCGGCGTGAGGCATCGTGGTTGCTCGTGGTCGTGCACTGCCGGACCGCCTCCACAACCAGCGAGTCGAGCTCGCGCAGCTTGTACAGCTGTAGCTCCTTGTCGCTCTGGTTCGTGACGGTCACATCGGGGCTTGCCAACGTCTCGATGGCCTCGTCCACACTCCGGCCTAGATAGAGTGCAGACGACTCTCAAGAAAGATGTGCGCAGAGAGCTACTCAGAGAGGAAGTGCCTCCGCTCAAGCTAGCTCCGCTGTGCTCGCCTGCCCACATCCGGATGAGTTCTGCGGCAATGCCGTCTGTGGCCTGGAGGATGGGCACGACAGTGCAGCGCCGCCGCGCAGCTGGAGCGGGCTGGAGTCCCTCAATAGACGCCTCCTGCATGGAGCACCACGCCTATTATGCCGGCATCATATCCTTAGGTACCTTGCAGAACAACATTTGCAAGAGAAAGTCAGCACCCTCACGCCTCGAACTGAGTCCTGTACATGAACGAGGGACGCTCAGGCTTCGGGCATCAGAGAAAGCAGTACAGGGCAACGCACCAAAAGCGGGACATGTACGACAGCTCCTGGAGAATGAGGACGGAGGAACCAAGGTAGATGATGTTGACCTAGATTGTGTTGGTCCGCTTGTCTTATCGCGATTGTGTCACGTCAGAGCATGCTCACGCAGAGGTAAGGGAGACGTTCATCAGCATCCGCTTAAAGTCAACCTTTTCGGTGGGCGTCCTGCTGCCCTGAGGCATGCACCTGAGTCGATGGGACATGTGTGAGGAAGAGGAACTATGGGGGGAGGGCGGGGCGGGGCGGGGGGCTCACCAGTAATCATACCAGACAAGCTCGATGTTTGGGGAAGATTGCAAGTGCTCCCTGATAGCCTTGATATGCGATCCACTTGCGTCTGGGTCCTGGGGCTGCTCCCAACGGTGGCTAACAGCAAGGATGTTGTCGCGGTACTCGTGGCGGCCGTAGGCGAGGTGCCGCTGCAGCAGCCGATTGCTCACCCACTCCGGATGATCCTCCTCGATCTCTTGCAGTCGCGGCAACGTTTGGTAGCCGTAAGTTTCGTAGAGGCCGGAGCGAATCACCTCCGCATCGATAAACACGAAAGTGCACTTCGCGCCCTGCATCTCGATCGCAGCGTCTGCGAGCGCTCGATCTTCTTCGGCCTGCAGCTGTTGCGCAATTCGTGACCGCGTTTGCAAAGCGACAATGCTCCCGGTGAGCATGAGCACCGCAGTGATGAAAGTAATCATCGCTGTCGAAATGACAAACTCGCTCGCGCCGCGCGCGCTCTCGAAGCCGACGAGGGTCTTGCACGTACGCTCGTACGCGGCGTTCGCGCACAGCTGAATCACCATGCCGGAGATGAAGGAGCACAAGAGCATTAGATTGGCGGTGCACGCGAGGTAGAGGTCGGTGGCGCGCTTGAAGGGCCGGGCGAAGGCGAGGGCGGCGAGGTAGAGGGCCGAGACGAGAGACGCGACGATGAGGCGGAGGAGCTTGCTTGAGCCGTCGTCTGTCTGGATGAAGAGCACCAGTGAAGCGAGGAAGAGCTTGCGGCCCAGATCGACGACCTCCCAGAAGAGGAAGCGCGGGTCGTAGTCTTTCCAGAGGAAGCGGCAGGCTCGTGCCGTGGCCCTGACGCGCTGCGCCCGCACCTCGGAGCGGATCGAAAGCAGAAGCGTGAGGAAGGCTAGCGGCACGAGCACCGGCCAGAAGACGAAGAAGGCCCAGAAGTACGCGTCGAGGCCGCTGTACTCGTCGTCGTCGGCGCTGCAGAGCACGTCGAGGTCGGCCACGAGGTAGGAGCGCCTCTCCCCGGTCAAGTCGTCGATGTTAAACGACTCGCACTGCCGCGCCTTGAAGATGGAGCGGGAGACGGAGGGCAGCACGAGGTAGGCGACGAGGATGGCCCAGTAGAGGAGGCGGCGCAGCGTAGCGCGGACGAGGTCGCGCCAGAGGGCGTCGGCGCGACCAGACAGGAACCACTCCGCGAGGGCGTAGCAGGCGAAGGCGGCGCCTCCGAGCATGATAGACAGGATCGGCCACAAGCCTGCGAGCAGGAGCCGGTCTCCCATCGAGCCGATGCAAGCGTCGGGATAGGTGAGGCCAAGGAGGTCGAGGCTGATCGCGTCCATAAAGTCGGTCCAGCGCGTAAAGTCCTCGTGGAGGCGGACGCCGTAGACAGGGCCGAGCGTCGATAAGACCTGGCAGAAGCTGACCAGGATCTTGAACTTGGGCTGGAAGCCGACCTAAGGAACCAGCAGGCTTCTCCACACCTGTGTTTGTCAAAGTGTTGGGGGGTGTCTGTCACCGACGGCCACCTGCGACTCGACGATCTCGAGCCGACGCTTGGCGCGCCGTCTAAAGCGGCCCCACGCCTCGGTGCGGGAGAGGGCGCGGTACAAGACGAGCCCTGTCCCTGCGAGAGCGACGACGACTCCCGCCAGGATGCCGAACCGCCCCGTCGTCGGGCAGTCGGCGCAGCCTCGCTCCGCGCGGCTAAAGTACTGCTCGTCGCTCACGCACCACTCGCAGAGCGGGCCGGTGTGGCCGGTGTCGCAGCCTGGGCCGGCGCCGCCAGACGCCGCGAGGCGGCGGGAGGTCTCCGCCGCGCCGCCCGAGCCGCTGCAGTGGTCGGAGGCGTCGCACTCGTGGATCTCGGTGGTTCGCTCCGAGGCGCGCCAGTAATCGCGCGGGACGCCGAGGGTCTCGAGGGTGGTGTTGGTCGCGCAGTTGGCGTCCGGCGGGCACGCTTTACAGTGCTTGGTCGGGAAGCGGAAGATGTCGTCCGCAACGGCGCTCGCGTCCTGCAGGTAGAAGCCCTCCTTGCAGATGGAGCAGGTGACGTCGCCGCTCTTGGAGCTGGTAGGGTAAGGGCAGGGGGTGCACTGGGGCCTAGCTCTCGTCCCCCCTCGGGGAGGGGGGGGGGCAGGGCCCGGATCCGTCGACGGCCCCGCCTCTCCCCCCCCCCTCTCCGCATCAGGCCGTAGACTGCCCAGTAGTCGCGTCGCCTCCCCCCTCGCCCGGTCCTTCTCGATTCGGTCCCGCACCGCCCGGATATCAAAGGCCGAGTTGTGTTCAGACAGCGGGCCCGCCGATGCCACCCGTCTCTTCACACAGCAGGCGTACGCCTTCAGCGCCTGCCCCCCCGACTGTGTCGGTCCCGGTGCGATGTCGTTGACGAGGTAGTCCTCCCCCTCCCACCGGAAAGAATTTTCCACAAAATTCTTTTCTCGATGGCTGCCCCGCGGCGCCGCTCGCGCCGCCTCGCGGCGGCCGCTGCCGCCGCTCCCTCGCCAGGCACGCCGCCGCCCGCCCGCCTCCTCGACCTCCCCACGGACCTCCTCGTGCGCGTCGTCTCTCGCTGCGACCCCGCCGACATCGCTCGCGTTGCGGCCGTCTCGCTCCTCTTCCACGCCTCGCTTGCGCTGGAGGGCATCCGCTTGTGGGCGCGAGAGCGCGGCTTCGAGCTGCCGGCGCTGCCAGAGGGCGAAGGCTGCGCCGTGCGGTGGCTGTGCTATTCGGCGCTGCTGCGCGAGTCCAACCCGCCGGCGAGGGTGGCGGCCGGCGGGTATCACAGCGTCTTCATCGACGGCGAGGGGCGGCTCTCGTCGTGCGGCTCTGCGCCGTGGTTCCGCCCAGGGCTGCTTGGCCACGGCGAGGGCGTGACGCGGCTCAGCACGCCGACCCGCCTCCCGTCGACGCTGGGTGGCGAGCGCGCCGTGAGCATGTTGGCGGGAGACAACCACAGTCTGGCCCTCACTGGCAGCGGGGCTATCTGGAGCTGGGGCCAGGGACACGATTGCGAGTTGGGCCACGGCGACGAGGAGAACCAGCTGCAGCCAAAGAAGATCGAGGCATTGGCGGGGCGGCGCGTCGTCGCTGTGTCGGCGGGAGGCGGCCACAGCTTCGCCCTCATTGACGACGGCGCTGTTTGGAGCTGGGGCTCTGGTCTCTTCGGCCAGTTGGGTCACGGCGACACGCAGAACCAGCTGCTGCCGAGGGAGGTCGAGGCCATGGCTGACCAGCGCGTCGTCGCCGTGTCGGCTGGAGGGTCGCACAGCCTCGCCCTCACCGCCGATGGCAGTGTCTGGAGCTGGGGCGATGGAGCCTACGGCAAGCTAGGCCACGGCGACCTGCAAGCCCAGCTGGAGCCCACGAAGATCGAGGCCTTTGTTGACCAGCGCGTCGTCGCTGTGTCGGCGGGAGGCAACCACAGCCTCGCCCTCTCCGCCGACGGCGCCTTCTGGAGTTGGGGCTTTGGGGGCTTTTGCCAGCTGGGCCACGGCGACACGCAGAACCAGTGGCAGCCAAAGAAGGTCGAGGCCTTTGCCGGCCAGCGCGTCGTCGCTGTCTCGGCTGGACAGCACCACGGCCTCGCCATCACCGCCGACGGCGTCTGGAGCTTGGGCTGGGGAGCTTGTGGCCAGCTAGGCCACGGCGACACGCAGAACAAGCTGCTGCCGAAGAAGATCGAGGCCTTTGCTGGCCAGCGCGTCGTCGCTGTCTCGGCTGGAGATATGCACAGCCTCGCCATCACCGCCGACGGCGCCGTCTTTACCTGGGGCAAGGGCGAACACGCCTGCCTAGGCCACGGAGAAGACCTGTCGAACCAGCTGCTGCCCAAGAAGATCGATGTGTGGGCGCCGGGGCAGTGAGTCTGAGAGGGGGAGGCAAAGGCGCGAATGCAGATCCAGCGGGAGCACTTGGGCGAGACGGGGCCGCACAGCCGGTGCCTTCGTGCCTTGCTCTGTGAGCATGTCGGAGAGAGGATGCGCACCCTCGGCATATACGAAGGGGAGCGGAGTGCTGGAGTGTGGAGGATCGAGACAGAGGCTGCAACGAGCAGAACCGAGTCAGAGAACACATTATCAGAAAGCCGTACACAGAGACTGCGCGCCGCCGCCGGCGGTGTGCGCAGTTCGCGACGTGCATATCGATCGTGTTCGTACGTGCTTCGCGATCGCGTCCAGAGCGGAGTGCGGAGAGCGGTGCAACTTAGATCTCTTTGTTGAGTACAGGGAGTAAGGCGAGACCCATAAATTACGCCTACCTGCTATATACCATGCGCACAGCTATGTCGTATACCCCAGTGTGTACTCTCGCTGGTTGTCCATCTCGGGCTCTCGGCGCCGCCCGTCTCGGAGCTCCCGACTCCCGGCGGAGATCAAGAAGCGAGAGACGGTGGCGGCGGCGGTGTCTCCTTATACCCCCAGCCTCCCCTCCCCCGTGCCGCTCCTCTCTCCCTCGACCGGTAGACCCTCCCAGCCACGCGGCGCGCTGCCCGCACCGCGCACCCCCCCCCGCACCCCCGCCTCGCGCCCCCCGCGAGCCCTGCGGGTAACGCCTCAGGTGTTCTTGCTGCCGATGCCCACCCCCTGGTCGGTGGAGATGCGCTCCT